AGTGTTCAAAGCAAATATCATCTGACACTCCATTCATCCAGTAGCAATAATTAAGCAGCAGATCCAACTCCACGTTATGCAGCAATCAGTTTACAGGCAGTTCGAAAAGCAGCTATTCATTCATCCATCCACTTGACGAGCGAAGCAAGCGTCTCCATTCAGACGCATCTTTGGACGACGATGTGAGCTGCGAAGAACAGGCAAGCAGGCAGGCAACCGGCTGAGTAGTGTAACAGCTGCTATTTCGTACTCTCACTGTTTGAATTTTGCATCGCACTCAAGAGATTTTTGTTCAAAGCACAATGGAGGGATTGAGCAGAAACAGCGGAAGGAATCCAGGAGGAGACGAGAGGAAGAAGCGGGACACAGTGGTCGTAGTAGCAACATTCAACTCAAACGAACTGCTAATAAGCAATACGACTTGCAGTGATTCCCCGGTGATTGAACAACAGTACGATCAGGCTTCAAAAAGCCTACTGTGCGCTAGAGATTTTGTAAATAAACACTGGGCGCCCTGGAAGCTGCCTTAATCCAGATACGGCTGTAGTCATCAGTCCTGAGGGTACAGCGAGCGAAAACGCCTGGCAACCAGAAACAGATATACACAGAAACTCAACAAATTTCAGCACAGGCATGAGCAGTTCGCGCAGAGGATTAGCTCGTCCGGCCTTTGTTGTGCTCCATTGGATAGAATTTCTCGGAAAACACAATGAAAGTACATCTATTCAGTTCTAATTCCCTTGCCTATCCTCTGGTTTGCTCCTGTTCTGCCCAAAAACCTAAACAATTACGTTATCCTGCCATCAGATGAGTGAAGTTGAATTTTTTCTTGGACCCGATCGCTTGACAAACACATTTCAATTAAAATTTATTCGTTGTGCCGATTGCAAATTAATACTATGTTAAGCAGCAATGCAGCAATGTAAGCGCCAATGTTACAAATGATTTGCAAAGATCGTTACAAATATCGTGTTCCAGCTGCATATTTTTTTAGATTTAGAGCTTTGAGTATGTATGTATGCTCAGGAAATGTTAATTTCACATTTCTGCGCAGTCTGCGATCCCAAAATTTCAGCTTCCTTGTTTTCGTTTCTAAGCATGAATTATGCAAATACGCATATGGTTAAATTTGTAGTCAAAACTTTCAATAGAATCATTTGGTCCGAATTCAGTAAGCTTTTCGTTCCCTCTTTCCCTCCATGAGTCAGTTCTCCAAAAAAATTTAAAATAAGACAAGGAAGAATTAGTAGAAGTGTACAAACGTATCATGAACTGT